GGTTTAGTACAAGGTCAAAGATTCAAAGAAACTGCTTTAAAGACTTAGTGGCCATGGCATATTTTCACCAGCATTGGTCAGGGTCATTGGTAGACAGAGGTAGGTGGGTAGATAGGGAAACAGAGTGGTTAAATAGGGAACCTACAAGTGAGTTCCAGGTATGGCAGCTAGTGTAGAACCTTCGGATAGACTACTTAAATTAGACAATGACTAAAGTTATACAAGTGGCTAGTTGTACATTCTTCCTATAGTTGCCCCCTGTGGTTGTATTGCAACCATTAGCCAAATATACTATCAATAAAATTTTGGGTTACAAGTACTCACCTTAATATTAAAAAAAAAAAAAGTTTAAATAGAGCATTTACAAGTACAAGTCAGATATAGCAAATAGTAGGTAAATTAAAATAAACCCTTAAATAATAATAACAAAGTTATATATATGACTAGAAGTACTTTCATAAACTATATATATACTTAAAATATTATTAACTAATAAAAAATTACTAGTTTGACTAAATAATTAATTACTTATTAAAAAAATTACTTTAGTAGGTTCAAATCATAGATAAATTCCTTTTTTCTATCTAAGTTTTTATTTTTATATGTAATTTTTAATTTTATTTATATTGGTATAAATGTAGTAATATTGTAAATTTTACTATAGTAGTTTAAAAATTAATTCTAATTACAAGTAAATGTATTAGAAAATGCATATTAGTAATTTATATTGTTACTATTTTAAAGTTACTAATTTAAGATCTTATATATATTAATATTAAAAAAATTAATATAATTAAAATAATTTTATTTTGATAAATAATATATATTATTTATAAATAAATAGTTAAAATTTAACAATTTTAGAGTTTATTTAAATTTTTTTAAATTTATATTTAACTATTTGTAAAATTTTATTAAAAGAACTTTTAAATACTAATAAGTATACAATAAAATATTTAAAGTTTAACAATTTTATTATTAAATAAACCAAAAAACAATTTTATCTAAATTTTTATATATAAAGTTTAAATATATTAATTATTTTTTTTTTTTAAGATTTTGAAAGCAGCATCTTGTCTGTATGTCTTTATTAGAATAATATATAATTACATTATTATATACAAAGTCTATCAATGAGGCTACAATTAATCATATATACAACTTTAGTCATTGTTTATTTAAAGTTTCTGTTTACAAGTTACCTATTAATTGTCATACCTGAAACTTACTTGTAAGTTTTCTATTTAAAGTCTCTGATTTTTATTATATGCAAGCCTTATATTACCAATTTAGTGACATCTTAGATTAGAACTACCTGGTTACTATTTATATCAAGATAACACTCTATTAGATATTACTGAGTATTCATAATCCTCGATTCATTCTTGATACAAACTTTATTAAGTATAGTACCAAGATTACCTTTTAGATTTATCCAACTTCAATATATTTTATATTCACTAAAACTAATATTAGTGTCAGAGGTGTTCGAATTTCGATAAGTTCATTTCTTTTCTATAACTTCCTTTTATGTTTACTGTATCACTTGCTAGTGCACCTTCTCTCCATTTCTGATATGTTCACTGCTTCTCTTATATTGAGCACCAACTCTCCATATTAGGAAGCTTCTTTCCAGAACTTTCTTATACACTGATCTTTTAATCACATAGACTTAACCACAAGGCTTCATATACATTTATATGCTTCTGTAGATTACAGAGTTTTGCCTCCAACTAGAATTGAACCATCAACCTTGTCTGTAGAGGAAGAGGTGCCTAAACCACTAGGCTATGTGACTCCATCCCTAATGTATTAATTATTTGACTTATATATTAAAATTTTATATATTACATATCAGATATTTGCTATAGTAGTTTTAATTCTAAATTAGTTTAAAACTAAAACTATTAACATCTTTACTTTTATAATAATAAATTACAAAATAATTAATGCTTTGATAACTAAACCAATTTAGCTATTTGACAAATAACTAGTCTAATCAAGCATCTTTAATGTAGATCAAGTTAGTCAAACAGCCTGGTTATATAAATAAATGAACTAATTAGACCAATTTGATCAAATTTGCTTGATTGGTCTAATTAGTTAATTTAATCCAAATTGCCATACCATTTGACCAATTTGACGGACCAGTTTGACCAGAAACCTTTTGACCAATGGTCAGCAAATTTATAGTCAACCACTATGTTGACCAACACTAAAAATAATATTTTCAAATTTGTAATTTGTAATCATATAAAAATTACTTAATCATTATCTAATTATACAATTATATGATATATTTCTTAACCAATAATTTATATAATTACAGTATTTTTATAATTATATATCCTATATTTAAATTAGTATTAGTAATCATTAATTAAACAATACTTAGTCCAAAATTTGATCGAAAATATTAATTTTAAATGATAAACTCATCTACCTTGTATTTGCTAGAACTTCCGACTTTCGGCAAAACTTTACTTTTTGTTTCGGTAAGACATTCGAAGTTGGTAAAACTTGCAACACTATCTGTATACCAAAAATATTTCAGTGCAAAATTTGATCAGAGATACATTTTTACAAGAAATTTTCGCACAGCAATAATGATTCAATAATTATACCATAATTGTATGACATACGCATGACCCGATTTATCAACCATTCAAAGGCTTAAAATACAAGCTTCTGAATTAAACAATATAGATTTTATTAACCGTATAAAATCATTATTTAATTTACATATAATGTTTATACACGGGTATTAATTTATTGATTTACAATATATAAATTCTAAAGCGAAAAACTAATCCTGTTTAAAGGTCAAATTAAGGTTGCTTTAGGGTTATAAGTGATTAGGGCTTATATTAAAGTGTTGCAAGAAATATTTTTTTTTGGCTACTTAAAAGTTCTTTTATAATTGAAGATATCTGTGTATGTACACATAGTGTACAAGTAGAAATTGCCATTATAACTCAAATTAAACTATAAATAGATTTCTAATACTAATCATAGTAAATAATATAGATCGAATTTTAAATTATTTTCAAGTATAATTATAAAAAAAAATTAATTCACATAAGCACATTAGAAAGATATCATTTAGTGAATGCTTATTATCCAGCAATGGGGTATCCTTCAGCTATAGGGTATCCTTCAGCAATAGGGTATGATCGTCCAGCAATGGGATAAGAATCGGTTTCTCCTTCAGCTATAGGGTATCCTCTTCCAGCAATGGGATAAGAATCGGGTTTAGATTCAGCAATAGGGTATGATCGTCCAGCAATCGGATAAGAATCGGTTTCTCCTTCAGCTATAGGGTATCCTCTTCCAGCAATGGGGTAAGAATCGGTTTCTCCTTCAGCTATAGGGTATCCTCTTCCAGCAATGGGGTAAGAATCGGTTTCTCCTTCAGCAATAGGGTATCCTCTTCCAGCAATTGGATAAGAATCGGTTTCTCCTTCAGCAATAGGGTATCCTCTTTTAGCAATGGGTTTTAAGAATGAAGCAAGAAGGACTGATCGTCCAGCAATGGGATAAGAATCGGTTTCTCCTTCAGCAATAGGGTATCCTCTTCCAGCAATGGGATAAGAATCAGTTTCTCCTTCGGCAATAGGGTATGATTTCTTGTCAAGAGGAAGGCCGTTTATCATGGAGGACGAGGCCAATAAAATAGACGCAAAAATACAAATTCGGACCATGACTACTTTTTTTTCTTAGAGATTCTTTATAAATGTAGTTATTTATTATATCGGATTTCCTAATCGAAAATTGGGTAATTTGGTTTCAATTTGCATCCTTTTATAAGAAGAAAAAACAACAAAGATTCTATATGAAAATTAGTCAATCGATTAAGAAAAATAAAGATTCACATTCATATCATATAATCATATGAAGTTAGTTATTGCACGCGGATGGAAAACAAATCAAGTAGTAAATGACTTACAGAATCATATGAAATTAACGATTATCGCAGATCATACAACTCACTGTCGTTATAGTGAACTCTCAAAATAGTGGAGATCCAATATAGTGAAGAGTTTTAAGTTATATAATTATAAACTTCAACTCCATATAATGAAGCACATATAGTATTCTCTCGATATAAGGTTATAGTGAAGAATTTTTTTTCAGTCATATAACGAGAATAAGTTGCAATGAAAATCAAAATAAAATGAAATTTGGGTTTCTGTTTGAGCGCTCAAAAACCCGCACATGCTTTATTACTAACCATTCTAGCAAATTCTAAACATTTTATATCAGGACGTGTAAATTTCTAATTAAAATGGTCAAATTTCGGTTTGATTTGCTATAATTATTGTATGCGAAGATTATCATTTTTCATTTTTGGGTTTGAATCATAGCGATAGATGATTTACAAATTTAAAAATTACGATCTGCGGTAACATAGTTATATTTGGGATTTTATTCTGAAATTTGGTTATTCTAACCATAAATTATAGTGACTTGTCTCTATTTCATATTCATTACTCTTATTCATTTCTATCAATTAGATATATAATATAAAAATAGTTTCTAAATGACGTCACATGACGTCCCTGACTATGTCTTTAAAACAAAGTGCTTCAAAGTAATTTAGAAATTAATTTTAAATTAGCACATCTCTAACGACAAATTTGAATAGAACTTGTCTTTACTTATAAAATGATAATAATAATAATAATAATAATAATAATGTGAATAAATAAATAATTATAAATAATTAAATGTCACTTAAGAGGCAGGGCCAAAATTCAAGAATTTTGAAAACTTGGTAAAATTGTGGGTCAGATGTGTCAAGAACATATTAAAATGTGGGCAAAATTTTTAAAAACATCATAAATTTTATTTTGTTAACCGTGTGACCTGGTAAATTACAATATTTTAGGTCCATGCGGGCCCTAACTCAACTATGAGCATTCATACTAGAATTTATCAGGATATCCATTTACTGTTGATATCCGGATATCAATAGTAAAACGATATCCGAATATACGTATTCAGATCGGCATATCCGATATAAATGGATAATAGATTGGAACATTAATTCATACTGTATTAAATTATGTTCATAGATTCCATATACGCTTATTTTAATGAACATCCGTAACAAGTAATAAGGTAACTGCATGACACTGTCATGCGAAAACCAGGAACGAATGCACTAATAAATGTATTTGAATATTTGAAAAATTGAAAAGGGTTACAGTCAAGAACGATGTTAAAGGTGCGTTATACATGATGTAAACGATTGAGTGAATTTATTAAAAAAAAGAATAGTAATAATTGTATGTAATACAGTAATAGTTATTGTGAATATCATCTGAATGGTCTTGTGATCGTACACGTGGTTCAATTACAATCATTGATTGAATCACGGGTTAGATCTACTGATCATGGTGATCTCGTTGACCAATCAAATACATGAAATCGTGGACGAACATGGCTGTAAACCATCTCCTTCGGTTCACCTACGTGAAACTCCGTTCCTGGTATGAGCCATAGATATCTTAAGCCGGGATAGTTAAATTAAGTACACTAACGCTAATTGCCTGTTTCCTTTTTAGGAATGGAGCAATCATATTAGTATATCGATATGAATAAATGGTGTATGTCGGCAAAACTAATATCCAATCAGTTGGTATGATCATATAAGTCATATATTGCCAGATTTTCATATAACATCGTGTGCCTGGCAAAAGAATATTATGACATAATCGCGTAAATTGCATCATGTTATTTCATATCTCGCACCAAGTAAAATTTTAATTAAGCAAATCTGTGGTTAATGATTTATCCAATATAAAAAAAGATTAGAATTATCACAAAAATCAGCTGAACTCAAGCTTGCCTCGAATGAGGTCGCCTCGCACTTTGAACGAAGTCACATGATTTGTGGAATGTATGCTAGTTTACCTCGCGCGAAGTACGTTCATCTCTAATCGTATCGTATCTTATTGCATAGTCCCGAAGTTTTTTTTTTGTAATCGGCTCTATGGGTAGGGTTGTAGTTTGTAATTTTCCGGTAAGCTGTCAGTAATTAAAATTTTCGTACTAGGCCATAAAACAATTTGTCCAAAGCTACGTATATGTCGTACATCAGAATGGAATTATTATCTACTTAGGTTGGTATTCTAAGTTCGATATGAAATCTCAAATAGAGTTTTATCCATTATCCGTTTATTCTTTTATCCATTTTTTGTTGAATATCCAGATCTGAATTTATTCGGATATCCGTTTCACTATTGATATCCAGATAATTATCTTTTGTCAGATTATCTAGATATCAAGGATAAATGGATGACAGATTTATCTGGATTGGAACTCTAATCTAAATTTGATACTGTAATAAATTATTAAAGGGAACGCCTATTTCCACCATGAAAATTTGCTGTTTCGACCATTGAACATAATTTTTCATGATTATATGTTCATCATGTTTATGTAGCTGAAGTCGTGTGAAAAGCATGATGGAAACAGGCGTTCCCTTATTAAATTTCTAAATTAGATACTGAATTGACTGAAGTAATGATAGTTAAAGTAATTACATTCTATTGCTATAATAAATAGCCAAATATTTAAATTTTTATTTTACCTTTTTATTTCTCTTTTCATTTTTTTACACCTCTATACGTTGAATGAATCTCAGGATTACCTTTTTTTTTTTTTATCTCGTAATAAACTTTTTAAAGACCTTAGCAGAAAATCCGCTAATGGTGATGTAAAAACGTTATTACACGTGAAGACTTTGATCTCTGTATTAATGTTTAAAAAGATGCAATAATCAGGAATGTAAAATATTACAGTTGAAATAAAAGTTCATTTGCTATACATAATCTTAAAGAACAAACAAGCCCTTAAGATTCGACTTGCTAAATTTAACTTAAACCTATTTACGTTCTATACAGCATATGTGTGATTATTAAAAATAAATGATTATAATTGATCCAATCATTTACGTGGTGTTGAGAAATTGCGGTATTAAATTTGAGTGCTGCCAAGTGAAAACCCGTAATGGCGACTTTTGGATTTCGTACCTTTTTTTAAGCCCAGATCGTCATGATAGGTCTGCCTATTCTGTAAAGCTTGAACTTATTAATCCATTAACCAATTTTTGTTCATCCGGATATATTCTTTAATCACAAGACCTACCATGACGATTTGGGCTTAAGAAATCCAAAAGTCGCTGCTACAGGTTTTCACTTGGAAGCAATATAATAAAATTGAATTATGAATTGTATGATTTGCTGATTGACTCCTGAGTTATGAATTGCTTATGAAACTGCCATAAACCGTTTGTGAAAACATGAATTAAATTAAACATTTTATTTGTATTTATGTATTTGCTTGATGTGAATGTGTAATCTAAAAATAGATCACCTAGAAATTTTATAAGTTAGCTATTTTAGATTTACGGGTTTAATTTGGCAACATTCATATAATGACGCTGCACAGTATATTTTTTATTATTCATAGTTGTTATGTAATTCTATTATAACACAATTCTTAATGACACGTTATTTCCATCAACAATTTTCTCCCATACGATGGATACCTAAATTGTTTTTGGCTTTCCGTAAATAAAAATTGCCGAAAATAATTTTGGATGCCGATTTACAGCTGTTATCATAAATTCTGGGACACCTGGCAAAAAATTAGCCGAATGATTTTTCGGCCGACCCGGTTAAGTAATTAATTTCGGCAGTATTCAGTATAACGATAATATAGACTAGGGTAAAAATCGCCACCCGAAAAAAGTTTCGAAAATCACGTGATATTGTCAAATTATCATAATTAGGATCATTAAATATTAACATAATTGTAGTAATTTTTTTCTTCAATACTTTAAAGTGAAAAGCGATTGTTAAAAACATAAAATCCAATAAACACACTATTCTAAAAATATATATTGATTGCTGTAACTAA